CTCTCTCTCTCTCTCTCTCTCTCTCTCTCTCTCTCTCTCTCTCTCTCTCTCTCTCTCTCTCTCTCTCTCTCTCTCTCTCTCTCTCTCTCTCTGCGTTCTCGCGTGATACACTCTGGCTTAAACGAAATTAGAATCACTCGTATTACGCAAACGCGCGACCATAATGCGTGACGAAAACAGCTGAGGTCTGCCAATAAATAAATTGCTTTCCGTCATGTCAATTTATAATACACGCGATTATTTATTTTTGTACAAACAGAATATACGTGACACCGACAAATGAGAACGAGTAACAAGCATAATGCGAGAAAGGGATGGGATACCATGCCAAGGAAACTGCTGAATAACTTTGCCAGCATTCTGACTCTGACAATTTTGTTCTATATATTTGAGCGTCGTGGTCAATGGGCGGCACACAACTATTATCAATTGTACGTTCTACAAAGGCTTATCAAGATTTTACCACCTCCAAAATCTTTTCGATCGAACTAAATATAGGCCATCCATTCTTGAGAATTTGCTACAACAGCAAAACAGCTTTCTTAAGAATGGAATAGCTTATATTTAAGAAATCATTTCGCATTATTAATAACGTTTGTTACATTCGTAATTGTTTAATGAAAGAAAAGATTCAAGAGAAATTCAAATCTGAAAATGTATCAAATCCGAAAGAATTAATTAAATATTCCATAGAATAAAAATTAATTTAAATATTATTTAAATATTATTTACATAAATATACATACTATTTCAAATAAAATTAATTATTGCACGTTCACATTAAAAAAAGAACTGCCTAAAAATATAACGATTAAAGTCATTCAAACAAATAATTATAAATGGTTATAGATAAAAATAATAAGCATCAATGCATCTTTGTTATCTTATTAAAAAATGTTATTTACACAAGATTTATCTACTTCAACTTTAGACAGATTAATTCAGATTTATCGTTATCATTAGGCTGAGAATTTAGTCAACAGAACAAACGATAATGAATAAAAAAATAACAAAATAAATATGATAACAGTAAAATAAATTTTTAAGATCTAAAAGATTTCTTATATATTAATTCTACATTCTTATATCTTTAATATTTAATTAAAATTCTTATCTATAGACAAATGATAAATACATTGTTAGATTTTAATCTCAAGGCTCGTGACTACAATTATGCGGACATCATTATTTCATTTAAATAACGCAAATTATTAAAATGGCGCAATAAAAAAATAATATAAAAAAAAGATTTATATAATTTTTTTTATCGAATACTCTTAAAACTACATTATTTTGCTACATATGTTACAGCTATTTGACACTTGTCTCTTTACTGTATTAAGTAAACTGTATTTAATACAGTAGTTATTTTAAAAATGTAAAGAAATTATTGTTCTGAAAAAAATTGATTTACAATGTTTATACACAGACTATTTTTTTACCTATAAAAATAAAATAGAAAATATCTAATAGGAATATATAATATAATAAAAACGATAAATAATTATAAAAGTAATGCAGAGAATGATATTCAATTTATTTACAGTTTTCCCAGAAAGTTAACGGGAGTAAGATTCGCAAAATGCTGGATGCTGGAAGATTTCGAACTCCAGCAGAGATCGGCAAGAAGTCCGGTGGGGCCCCGCGCGACGACGTTCGATATTCAGTCGACGCCGGTCGCTCGACAAAATCGGCTCGTGTCCCTCGTCGCTTATTCAAAACTGTAGTGCGATAATGCAGAAGAGTGATAAATGTGTATTTTTGTACAACTCCTGAATAACGTTCGGTTGGAGTGGAGGTTACCGATGCGCGTTAAACTTGGTGCGTTGTTTCTTCTTTCCTTCTTCTAAATTTAATTAATTTCAATTTTTTTTTTTTTAATCGAAATATAGGAACAAATTTTATTTTGAAAAATCGGTGGAAACTTTAACCAGTGTTTTCGTGATCGGCATAAGTGTAATTGTAATTGTTTCGGGAAACTCGATTTTACGTTACATTGCTTTCTCCAAAGTTGCGTTACACCGCACATGGCGCACGTGCACGGAATACCGTGTTACTTGGTGCATAATTTACGCATAGTGTTACAGATGTTGTGACTTTTCACAATTTGCATACGGTACTATTTAACTTGCTTGCACCGATCGCTTAAGTAAAAGTAAATTATATCAAGGTATACGTTATGCGATATTATTGCCGGATATTTAACAAATTTTTTAGGAATTTATTTTATTCATATTCCAATTAAAAAATATTATATAAGCATACATTTCCCTTAGAATACTTCAGTATCAAATTTATAATTTATAATTTATATATCTAATTATCGTAAGTTCACATTTCAGGAAGAATATTCAAAGTGGTTTTACATAGATATTGGTCAAAACATCTTTTGTCTTTAGAACATGTGACATATGTTTCTGGTATCTTCTTTATTTGCTCGTCCATATGAAATAGATAGGCTTTTAGCATTAGAATAGAGAGAGAGATGCTTCGAAGATACCAATTACAATACTGTATATGTTGCCTCTCTTATTGTTATCTGATATCTAATTATAACTGTTTCATAATTCTTATTCCAGCAATGACGTATTTTCTTCGATATTTGAGCAAATTGCAGTAGTGTTGACCGTTACTGAATTTATTCTCAATAATTCAAATATTTTCTCGATATATCAATATAATGATAAGTAAATATACATTTTTACATTTTTTAAATGCTATAATATTAAAAAAGTTTTATAAATGCTCTAGATTAAAAAAAGTGCATTATATATTATATAATTTAATATACATATTATTATATTCTAATAGTCTAATAATCTAAATTGATATAAATAGATCATGTCTGTTTTTATTTCTTTGTCCTTCCAAAAATGAAAATTTAGAAATATTTGTGTCAGTAAGACTTCAGATAACTAATGAGTTTATAATAGAAGAAAAACTATTATAAAAAGAAAGATATTTCAATTTAATATATCGTAGTCTCTTTGTTTGTAAATTAGTAAGGCACAATGCCAACGATTAAAATGATGAATTGATTGTTACCTGATGTTTTAGACAATTTTAGATTTTACGACAACTTTAAGAATTACTGAAATCCTTGCCAAATTCCAACGTGTTCTGTTCTGCAGTAGATCATAATAACTGACAAAAATAGATTCTCATATTTTGAAAATACATAAAATAAGAATAAAAATATATATATATATACTTTTAATTTTTTTGTCATTTGCAAATGCTATTATCAAGAAAATATTATACTACAAAATAGAATAAAATTTAAAATATTTTATGTTCTTCCAGATTTACATTGGAAAACGTAACATAACGATTGACAGCCATGAGAAGAATTGAAGTTAAAGTGTGACTGACCATACAAAGCGAAAACGTGCCTCATTAAAAAAAAGATAAGAGCAATAAAGGAGAGATTACAGAAAGGCGCTATCAAATTAAACGGAAGCAGTAACGACAGACAGAATGTCGGTCATAAATTTTTTGCAATTGTTGCATTATCGTGCTTTTGATAATCGAAGCCTTCGCAAACCCCATTTTACGCAAGGATGAAGAATTCACTATTAGAATCGTTCACACGAATGACATGCATTCAAGGTGATTTTATTTTCCATCAAATATTTATATAAAGCAAAGCAACACAATTATACAAATTTTATTATGTCTCAAGGAAATTAATCGTTTTATTGGAATAATTATGTCATTTAAAGTTTGCCATTCGTTTTTTTTTTACAATTCAATTCTGCATCATGCTAGCAATTATCACTGCCAAGCTAATTACAAATGTTAAGATAGTTAATTATCTTCCACACCTATGCGTTAATTGCACGTGTAATGTAATTTATCGAGGCAATTTCCTTGTTTTTCTGACGTCATAATTTATGTAACTAAATCCATCCCCTCAAGAGTTTTCCGTGGCACGTTTCTAGATTCGAAGAGACGTCACAATTATCAACGGCATGTACGCCGGCCGACTCCAAAGCCGGAAAATGTTACGGAGGTTTCGCCAGGATCGCCACTTTGGTTCGCCAAGCGAAATCGGAGTCGCCTTCGACGATTTTTCTGAATGCCGGTGACACTTACCAAGGAACCGTGTGGTACAACAAGTATAAGTGGAGGGCGGTGACTTGGTTCATGAACCTCTTAGCGCCAGACGCTATAGTAAATATTACCTACTTCTAAATAGAACATTCTGAAGATACAAAATTAATTAATAAATTAATAAAAGTCTCTTGTTAGTTTATTTTCATAATTTCATAAAATTCTAAGGATGCACACATCACACCTATTTTTGTTTACAAAAATGAAAAGATTATGAAAAACTTACAGATTCTAAATCGCATTTTAAAAGTAATATAAACTAGTTTATCGCCAATTTGGAGCCTAAATTAAAAATTATTTCACTATGAGGTAAAAATATTTGCTTTGATAAAAATGTAATTATAGAAGAATAAAAAGTAATGATAGAAATTTAAGTTTTTTTATATAAGTACTTTAAATATTCAAGATTATTTATGTAAAGTTTCATTGCAGAGATTAATTGTTCTGTAAGTAAAAAGTTCAATTTTATTTATATTATTATTCGTTTCGTTTATATTCTTAATAAACATTTAATTTAATCTTGAAATGTTTATACGAAAAAAGAAGATTTTTGTTATTATTTCTTAATTACATTTCCATTAGAGCACGCTTCTACTTGTTTGTTCAAATAATTTTTGATTCAGGTTTGTCTGTAAACTATTTTATATTACTTTTAAATGCGCTTTATAGAATCTGTAAGTTTTCCATAATTTTTTCATTGTAAATATAAAAATTATAAAAATAAATGTAAATATAAAGTTTCAAGTTTTTGCGTTACTTTTGATATTACTTACTTTAAATATTGTTTATTTTATAAAATAATCGTACACAAGTGAATGTGTAAAAATAACATTTTTAGAAGAAAAATGAATTTCAAACGAGTCGTAATGTTTACTTGAAATTAAACAGTTGTACGACACATCGTTTAAATTTCGATAGAGTTTGGGCAACCACGAGTTCGACGACGGTGTCAATGGTTTAATACCTTTTATACAAAATGCCTCGTATCCCATCGTAACGGCAAACTTGGATCTCAGCGAGCAGCCAAATTTGGCCGCGACGAATTTGAAGAACAGCACGATTCTCGAAGTAAGCGGCAAAAAGATCGGCGTGATCGGTTATCTGACGCCGGAAACGAAAATCTTGGCGAGTACCGAGAAAGTGATCTTCAACGATGAAGTGGAGTCTATACGAAGGGAAGTTAAAAAATTAAAGGAACAGGGCATCGACATTCTCATCGCTGTGGGTCATTCGGGTTTCGAGGTCGATAAGAAGATCGCCCGAGAAGTCGAGGATATCGACCTGGTTATCGGAGGCCACACGAATACCTTCCTCTATCGCGGTAAACCGCCGGATGTCGAAGTACCGGAAGGTTTTTATCCGACAGAAGTGGTTCAGAAAAGCGGCAGGAAGGTCTATGTTGTACAGGCATACGCGTATACCAAATATCTGGGTAATTTCTCTGCGAGTTTCGACGTTAGAGGCGAAATAACGCATATCGAGGGCAATCCAATTCTCGTGGATGCCAACGTGGAGCAGGTAAATTTTTCAGAAAATATAAAAGATTAGTTTCAAACGATGAAAAAAATACAATCCAATCATATTATATATAAATAAGTTATGACATAACAAAATTAATATGTTATATGTGTAACGTAAAATTTTTATATGAAGCACGTATACGGTTTTTATCAGAGAAATAATATCCGCCATATTGCGTTCTATTGCAGGCGGAAGACGTTTTGAGAGTGATAAGAGAAAAAAGAGGACCCATCGACGATTTGCAAAAAGAAGTGGTCGGGATGACGCGCGTGCTCTTGGATGGCGACGCCAAGAATTGTAGACGGAAAGAATGTAACATGGGCAATTTAATCTGCGACGCTATAATTGATTACGTAAGATTTTCGGCTGATGTAACAAACACTTTCCAATCGTTAACATTGCGAAATACTCTTAACGAAGATTTGACGTGCCTTTTTTTGTCTCACAGTACGCCACGGAATATTTTGACGTCAATGGATGGACAGGCGCCGCCATCGCGGTACAGAACAGCGGTAGCATCAGGTCATCTATCACTAGAGCGAGAAACGATCAGGTTTAATTAATATATATATATATATATATAAATTTTTTTTTTTTTGTAGACTTTCCTGTTCAATTTTTGCAACACACTTGCAAATTTTACGCATTAAATTGTTCGCAGGTTACTCGAGGAGATATCCTAGGTGTCTTGCCCTTCGGAAACGTCGTCGTGAAAGTCTCCATGACAGGAGAACGGCTTCTTACAATGCTAGAATGGAGCGTTCACAGTATCGATAACTTAACTTCCACCGGGAACTTATTTGGCGCTTATCTACAATATTCAGGACTGCAGGTAATTTGTTTAAAGCTGCATTTATTTATTCCATAATAAAAAAAATTGTATCCAATCTTTGAAAATGTTAACTTTTTTATAATTATATATTCTTGACAATTATTACGAGCAACGAAATTAACTTTTTGTTGTTGTCGTTTCATTTTGTATTTGTGCGCCCATATTTCGTCAGAGATAAATTTATTAGTAGTCTATGATGAATTTATAGGTGGTCTATGATGTAAGTCAACCACCGAACTCGAGAGTAGTTTCAGTTTACGTCCGATGCACAGCTTGCAGAGTTCCAACGTACAGTAAACTTCAGAAGAACATGACGTACAATGTCCTCATAAATGATTTCATCGCAGGAGGCGGAGACGGTTTCCACATGTTAGAAGGTCTCGAAACAACCTCCCTCGGTATGTTTATACAATTCTTATTCCAATTTTATCTTTAGTTCTCAATTTTTAGTTATTCTTATTATCTCCGTCAAATAACATTTATCATGACATGGCATTGAATTTCAATAGGTATCACTACCGCGGAAGTATTGGAACAGTATTTCAGAAAACACAGTCCAATACATCCAGGCGTGGAGTGGCGAATTTTGTATAAAGATATAAAAATTGAAAGCTATAATCTTGGGACAACACATCAATCGGTTGGAATGACTATTATTTTATCAATGATTACTTGGTTATCGTTGACATAATAAAAACGCTATCAATTTCAATTATAAATGATAAGCGGAGCACGTATATCGAATTCCTTAATTCCGGTTGTACTTTTACAATTTACAATTTTACTACCTCAATATTATTTGCGATTTACATTGTTTCTACATTGTTTTTGCATAAGTTAAAATATATATCGAAGAGTGATACATGGGAAAAATGGAGAATACAAACACACAGTATTGTCCACTGTAATTTTATTCTTTTAAAAATATTACACTTGTTAAAAATATTGCAGTTAATAAATATAACATTGTCTGTAAATCTCTTTTTATACATCCTTTAAAAAAATATTTTTATTAAATAAACTCTTATGTTGCGTATATATAAAATATGTAAAAAAAAGTATTAATTTCTCTCTTAAAGAATTTATGTCAAATGTACTTCTTTAATACATTAATATATAATCATGAATAAAGATGGTAACAGTAAAGTTGTTTCATCAGTCAAAAAGTATGTTTACTTCCGTTGTGTCCATACTTGCGGTATCTCAAAAATATTTCCGTTCAAATCATATACTCGTTTCAATGTTTCGATGACGTTACTCATTTCCATACAAGGCATCGGTGCGCAATCATGCAGTACTTGTACCATTTTTAACAAGTCGTTAATAATATAAGGCTTATCCTGTAAGTTGCCCTCTGTTGCTAAATCAACGTACATATTAAATTTCCTTAACGCCTTTTTTATCTTAGCCTTATCTTCCGGTTTTTTCACTAAAGTCTGCATTCAAAACAAATCACATTGTTATTATCAAAATATAATTATTTGATTGTCATTAATTAAACTTATTATTTGTCATACTTTGAATGACTGTAATTCATGATATAAAGGCCAATCTTCTTGACAAGGTGTGCAATCACAGATGAAATAATACTGTTTAAATAACTTTTGTTGCCTCGTTGCTTTCGGCGTGATGGCATAGTGTTTGCCATAATTATCTAATAGCTACGATAATATAATTTTGATATATATGGTACAAGTAATAGTTAAACAATTAATACTGCAAGTAATAATTAAACAATTTATATAAAACATAGTTTAATACCTGCTCGCCTTTTCGAATAGGATACATGGCATATATCACTATATGTTTAGGTCTCGAATGTCTCAATATATTTGGATTGCAGCTGTGATTAAATAAACTAAGAAATGGCATAGCAGCTATACCGCGTTCTACATGCTCTAAACCTTGCTCTTCACCAAACTGCAAATATCAGATTTCATTGATAAAATAAACAATAGATTGTTACAATTGATAAAATAAAAAATTATAAGTATTGTCATTAACATTCATTGTTACATTTGAGATATATATAAAAAATAATTTGGCATTATAAGAATGTTATCAGAATATATAGTCATACAGTATGCATATTGCTGGGAATTATTTGTTGATGCCTTAAAATAAGACCACCAACAAATGTAACATCGTTGTTTTTTTCCAATAGGCTTAAATCCTCAGATAATTTAGCACCAAATATCACAGTGCGCGTCGCTAAAAAGTATAAAATAAAAGAAGTATCCAAAGATCTCCTAAAGAGATCACTAATAGCTCTCTTCTCGGTATTGGTCACAAGACTATAGACACTAATATATTTATCACTATGTAATTTTCCATCTTGAAAGAAGGCTTTCATTCGTGGATCTGAAGAATAATATAAATAATAATCAATATAAACGCTACTCTATTGTTTAAGCAAAAAAAGTATAAATATTATATACCATCACATTCATCAATTTCTTTTATCATTGTCTTCAATTCCTTAATACTACCAGCTTCCCTTAGTGCAAGCACAGCGAGCCTTATACTAAGCAAATCGAGGTTATAGTATTTATATTCGATCAAAGCAGGGAAGACAGTACATTCTATATCGTGGCATTTTTTCCATTCAATATTTCTGCATTCTTCTGAACAATACATAGCATAGGTGCAATATTTGCAGGGTATGTTTGCCCAGCATCCTCTTAAACAATTTGAGCAATGTGTTTGCATATTTTCTTGTACTAATAATAATGAGTAAGGTTTTTCTACAGCAATTACTTCTCCTGGACGAATGTCACGAGCAGCTACAACATGTCTGCCATAGTATTTATTGTATTTTATGACTACTGCATCTGATGCACAAGGAACTTCGTTGTTGTAAGTTTTAATAGTAGGAAGAGAAGGTTGTTTTTCCACTATCTTTGCTTCTGTATGCTTCATAGAAGTATATAGTTCTGTTTGTGCACTTTTATTATGTAAAATATCAAGTTTTATTTTTAATTTATCTCGACTTGTATCATTTAAAGACATTTTGTCTAGCCAATGTTCTGCATCCTTAAGTATATCTTCTACAGATTGATTCCCCAAAATTATTAAGCATTCTGTCTTGCGCAGATAAAGCTTGGCTCTTAAATTATCAGGATAATTTAAGGCCAGTGCTCGATCGATATCCTGAATACATTCTGAATGCAAACCTAATTGAAACAAAACTGCTGACCTATTGGCGTAACCAAGAGCAAGTTGTTCAGATGGATAAGGTGCAAAGGCTATACTCTTTGTATATAATTTCAGTACATCAATGCATGTTGTATTATTCAAGATGCCTTTAACAAAAATTTTATTGCCTTGCTCCCGTAATTTCTCAGATTCTTTGGCATTTTTTGGCATACCAGTTGCACTAGGAACTATATCGTACTCTTTCATAACATTCAGAGTAAATACTACACGTTCCTGATCAGTCTTAAGTTTCTTATATTGATCTGTGAGTTCGCGATGCTTGTTTGCTGCAAGCAATCTGGCATTTAACGTGTCTAACACTTTATCCATTTTCTTATAAATATGTTTCTCTAATACTTTTATGTAAATATAGGATAGAAAAGAATCTGAAAAAAAGACATTTACTTTTTTTATAATCAGTATAAAAACATTAAATTCTAGGGATCATATTATCCTTGAAATATTTCAATTAAAAACAATTTGATATCGAATGTAATAGTTGCGTCATAAATTGATTTTTTTATCTTTTTTTAAGATTTCTTAAAATTCTATATTTGTATTGTATTATCCGTTATATTGCACAGATATACAATTCAAAATAACGTAGAATATAATGTCTTTTGTTTTTCTACAACTTGCCGGTATATAAACAAAAGCATAATCTGCGCCTGACAAAAGGTCGAGCAATCGACTTGTTGAATGTGAATATTACAAAAAATAATTTTATTTTTACAATCTCTATTTTACAATTTTAATTTAATGTTGTTGAGAATAATAAATAACTCACCTGACGTGCCTCACCTAAGTTGCCGATAAAACGTGAGATTATAATTTTTCACCAGGAGAGAAATCTCTATCCTATAAAATTGCAGCCACGTAGACTTGGCTAGGATATTTTTGTACACGGACGATTTAATAAGAAAAAAAAAGAATGTCTATGATGTAGTGATTATTTTCATCGACCAACGGTGATTTGGTAACATTTAAATACCTATAAGACGCGGGAAATTTAATTTAAATTGAATTCAATTAATATGATTAACACATAATATGCGAAATAGATATCATATTATTAAAATAATAATGATATAAAAAATAATAATATAAATTCATTGTTTGCAAAACAATAATGAAAGGATTAATGGCAAATTTGAGCAAATTAAGGATGGAAAATAATTAATGACGAAAAAATTAATCACCTGATATTTAAAGATGAACATACTGAACTTTTCGGCATCAAATAATAAAAAAATTGAAAAAAATTTTTTAAACAAAAAATAAGAAAATTATTGAAATCTCAATATTAGGATTTTTTTTATTATTTTTTTACTTTTTCTTACTTTTTACGTTTTAACAATTTTTTCCCAATTAATGCTGATGAGGATTAAATAAAGTTTGAAACGTTCATTTTTTAATATTACGTAATTAATTTTTTTATCATTGTTTTCCATTCTTAATTTGCTCAAATGTGGCCGTTAAGTCTGTTTAATAGCGATATGTTATTAAAATAATAAATATAAAATTTTTTCAGAATAAACAATATTTTTCATTGTTTCATTGTTTAAACATTATTTCTAACAATTGATATATACATAATATTCGTCAAAAGTACGTATTGATGATATCAAGTCTCAATGATTTTTCAGTTTTGCGAAAACCTTGTAACATTTTAATAATATCTTTAATAACAAATAAGAATGTATATATTCATGAAATTCGCATGCAAATTTCTTCGCGCAGTCTCGGACTACTGATTGTGGTCATTAAGAGCATTATGTACACTTACGTCGTCAAGACGACGCATCGACTCTCTTTTACGTTTAACAAAACGTGTACTTGTCCAATACATGTCTCGCTGGCAACGATCTTCGAACAAAAATCGCTTCTACCGAAAATGTCTTTGCATTCGACGCCGATCCTGTATTTAAATATGGGTGGTGAAATGCTGTACGTTTTACGACAAAGGCTGAAGGCGCAAAAGATCGACATTGATAAGACGATACAAGGCAAGGCGATATTTGAAAATTCCAAAAATATTTATCAATACACTCATATGTGTGTACTTTGCTCATATTTTTGTTGGCTAATATTTTTCAAAATACTTTGGTTTAATATTTTTGCAATATAATCGACTGATTGTATACTAACTTTTTTTTTTTTTATAATTTTTCAAAAATTGTAACATTATTTTCTCTGGCAATTTTTAAATAGCTCAAGCACAACAATTTTGCAATCTTCAAGTTTTTCATTAAAATTTATCACTGACTAAAAAATAAAAAGATCGGTTATTTAAACGCAAATGAAATTAAATGGCAAAATTAATTTAATACAGTTTAATTGCAGTATTGAACGATGTAACAGCCGCTTTACTCAATCCTAAGATACTGTCGTCAATTTTCGAGGTGTCCCCGATGATGGGAATGCCACAACTGCGCGCCACTTTGGAAAGCGTCGCTCTTTCATCTATCATGAAGCTAGACAAAAGCAGTATGGACAAACTGTTCGATCTGATGACTATGATGGTCAAGTATCAATTGACAGCAGCTACCGGACCCAGAGAAGTCATTCTCATCACTCTGAATCACATAGACGCAATGCGCGACATGGTCGGCGATGTGAATACGCAAAAATGCATCAGCATGGCGCACCAGATGATCGTTAACGTGAGTACGGTATTTAGTTTAGCGATATTCAATTTAACGAGATGTTCACTTTTCAAAGCGCAGTTTTACGGTTGTCTGACCTTCGACGAGGTTTGGAACGCGCGACAGAGTTGTCTGAAGGAATTGGAGCCATGCAACGTGCGTGTCTCAATACTTCTACGACGTGGTCTACAAAATGATGATGCTACCTTCAACGTAATACCTCAGAAATACGATGAGAAATATACGGAACACAGGAACACTATGGCTACTATGAAAATAAAAGACGTGAGTCCTGAAACATGCTGCGGTGGATCCTTCGATAGCTTCGGTGACAGAAAAACGTTATTGGGCAAAAATATGTAAGATATAAAGTGCCATACCATGCCAATTAAACAGCATGGAAAATAAATGATTATTTTATTATACAGATATCTGCCAACATATGGCATAACGGAAGGTGCAAGACGAGATAGCCAACAGTTCTTAAGAGACTGCGGCGCGAAAGCCGAGTTAGGTATGTTGGCTGTTCAATTAGGAACCGAAGAGACTAATTACGAGAGACCGTTCACGCTTAATTTATTGTCAAATATGGACGAAGAGACTGTAAATAACGCAAATAGAGAAATCGATACCGAGGAAAACAACATTAAACGAAATAACGCGGGAAACGAAAAACCGAAATTGAATGAGGATTATAAAGCCAAACTTAATACAGTATACGCAGATTTTTTCGAAGACGAACAGGAAGGATTAAAACGCAGTATGGATTTGCTCGATCTTCTTGATGAAATTGAATAATTTAAGATCCTGATTGAGATGAATAATATATTGCAATTATTTTTCCTATATTTTCTTGCATCTTTTTACACCAATATTTATATTAGAAATAAATATTCCTATATGAAAAACGACTCTTACTCTTTTACAAAATATATCTTCGTTTGAGTTTTATCTAAGCATTGGAAAAGTTTGCATATATTGCGGACTCCCTTGATAATTTTAAATGCTATTAAATACAATATGTTACGAAATAGTAGAAAACAAATTCTTTGTATGCAAATATATATATATATATATATTTGCGTACAAAGATATTATATATATATAAAATTTTTTTAAGATTTTGTTAAATCTAAGATATACTTCAGGCCTGTCCGACCATCAAAATTAAGCGCCTTAGTTATAGCTTCTTGGTATTCACAGAAAGGCACCAGTTTGTATGGAGGTGGCTGTAATTTCTTATTCATAAAGAAACTTGCTAAATTCTTAAACATATCCACTCTTTCTTGGGATTCCATGTTTGTTTTTGTCCAGGCCGTCATCCAAAATCCTTTCAATGATATATTCTAAAAATATTATACAAATTAGATACATATATTTTTATGTAATTGTCAATTATAAATGTAGTTCTGAACTACCCGAAAAATGAGTGAGGATATCGGTACAGTTAATGGCTCTCTAGACATGCCACCATAAGTCACCATGGTACCACTATGAGCAAGATGTCTCATTACTTCATGTGCACTCTGTCCACCGATGCAGTTCAAAGCTAATTTGGGAGCAGGCAATTTTTTATTTTTAAATAATAATGTATTTCGAACCTCTTCTTCAGTCAGCACTTCATCTGCTCCTAAGCTTGTCAGTTGATTCTAAATGATTTGTAATATTATGCATGTGTTACATATTCATATTATCATAAAGATAATGAAATATTATACCTTTAATTCCTCTATGTTTGGTCTATCTCTAACAACACTAACAGATTTATAATTCCATATTTTACATAACTGAATGACCATTTGACCAACTGCAGAATTGCCACCATTTTGTATCACAGTATCTCCAGGCTTTAATGGAATAAAATCTTTTAACATTCTGTAGGCTGTGCAAGGATTTACATTCATCATACTCGCTACAATTAGGTCAACATCGCTTGGTATCTGTAAAATCATATCATGAAATAATATGACTAACAAATATACTATTATAAGATAATAATAATCACACCTTCATGACATCTTTAAAATTATAATTAGCTTGTGTCCTCCAAATACCAAAATTAGGTCCATTTGGTAACACCCGATCTCCAATGCACAAATCTTGAACATTAGAACCAATTGCTACTATTTCTCCAACCCCTTCGTTTCCTGGTATTGCTGGCAGAGGAGGCCTGCTAGGATATTTGCCTTGTATCGTATTTATATCGGCAGGATTTACTGGTGAAAATAACCATTTTACAGAAACCTGCATTATAAAAATTCAATATTATGTTCAATTATATAATAATAAAAAATGTATAAATGAAAAGAGACAAAATTTGATTGTAATAATAAATTACTTGATCGTCTGCTGGTTTTTCTATTGTCTCTGTCGTTATTTGAAGAACCTCAATAGGATCACCGTATTCTTTGTACAATAGAGATTTGACACAGTTGTTGTTAACCGCAGCACTCATTTGCCTAATATTTGTCAAATCACCTCTGACTAGTCGTGAAATCGTCAGAGTTAATTGGCTAATAAACATATTGCAACATATAATTAAGTCAACAAATCGCAACTTTGACGTTCGTATTTGTTGAAAAACTTTTCGAAGGAAATCTGCCACTTGCTGTATCTCAAATTATATCTTGAAAGGTATCCTCTCTGTATCCTTTTCTGTGAAAATTAAAGATGCACTCAATTCGACACTACAAATTCACTTTTTCAATTGATAATATTCAATGTCAATTGACAGTACTCCTTACTATGATCGGTAGATGCTTCGAAGCATTTGTAATGAGACTTTTGGCCCGTATTCATAATCGAAGCTTAAAGCGCTTTTCCATGCTGATGCTCGATCGTAATATAAATAAAGACGAGTTTTTTAATTCATTGATTGATTAATCGCATAGTGCGCAAATGCTGCTTTTATAGAGCAAAGTTGCATATGCGCATTATTAATCATAATGCGATTTATTAATCGAATTAATTAAAAAAACTCGCCTTAAAGATTCGCTCAAGCCGATATCCGTGAAATTGTCACTCGCGCATGACGGAAACCTATTTGAAACCTTTGCAAAAATATGTTTGAAACAAATACTTAATGAGTATACTTCGATTATTTTTGTATTATTTCTATTAAAACGATCAATGAGAGTAAGTAATCCTTTCTTCTGAATTAGTAAATTATTATGATTACAAAAGGTATATGATTATAAAAGGTGTCTTTATGCGGCGGTTTTTTTGCTGAAAATGATTTTTAGTGAGTAGCGAATAATTCATTGCGAAGTAACAAATAATTTGCCACGAATACTTTATCAGCATCGCATCTGTATATGTGTCAACAATATTAAAATATTTTTTGTATATAGTTTCAAGCTCTTAAATATTTAATAAGTATGATAAATATGGTAAATATTAAGTTAACCCCCCTCGTCTCAAATTTCGATATAATTAGGCTTATTCGACGCGTTTTTGCATGAAACGAAAGAATCTGGCGAAAAAAAATGTCGCTCTGTCTCGCGAACCGAGATATTAATTATTAAAGTTTCCACTATTGGAGGTTAGGAAATCTGTCATATCGACTATATGTAGCGACATGTGTGCCGTAGTCACGTGCTCATGTTCGATGATCACAAGCGCATGCATGTCGTGATCGAAATGTGTACGAAATATGAAATAGCAATAGTACAATAAATATGTACGTAATAAATACGATTATTAACAAGACTCCTATCTTATTCCCTTAATCTTTTTAGTATCTATTTTTAGTATATTGTAAACTTATCTATTTAATAAAATAAGATAAAAATAAAAATTTGATTTATAATCTTATTTTGCAGAAATAAGCAATAAAGGATATCGCAATTGTAGAAGTTGCATACAGCGTTAAGCGAGCACGATGCCGCTAAGTTTATTCGAATTTGGCAATCTTATTTATAATAAAGAAGAACTCATAGATTTCTTAATCAAACATGGTGTTTTAACATATACAATTAAGTGTAATACGTGTGATAAAGATGTAAATATTAATAAAGAAACATTAATATATCGATGCAGAAAACGGTATATCATTAAAAATAGTCATAAAAAATGTGTTTCCAAGCAATGCAATTTCGAAAAAAGTGCTAGAGCAGGCACTTGGTTTGATAAAAGTCATCTTGACATTAGTACAATTTGTAAAATTGTAACATGTTTTTTAATGTTACCACATCCACGTCAAGATGACACACAAAACGAAACCAATGTATCAGCGTCCACACTTGTTGATTGGTTTAATTCTTGCCAAGAGGTAATTATATTTTAATATCTAATATATATGATATATAATAATATCTAAAACAAAATGTTAATGTTATTTTTATTTATAGATCTGTGTATTCTGGGCCGATAAAAATAGTCAAAAGCTTGGTGGCCCAGGATGTATTGTAGAACTCGACGAGGCAAAAATTGACCGGCAATTTTACAATTGTGAGCGTCTAATAAAAGGACATTGAATATATGGAGGATACGAATGTGAATCAAAAAAGATTTTTCTCGTTCCAGTAGAGGATCGGACGGAACGGACACTCCTGGCATGTATCAAGGAGTGGATTCTGCCAGGAAGTACTATCATATCAAATTGTTGGAAGTCATACAATTGTTTGAATAATGAAGACTTCCAACATCGACAATCAACCACTCCTATAACTTGGTCAATCCTCAAAGTGGTAAAAAATATTAAAATTATTAATATATACAATTAATATATATAATATATAAAATTTATATATTACAATAATCAAGTTGCATAGAATTATATATATTTCTATATATTAACTTTACATATTTTACTGAAGGTAATTATATCATTAATATTGCATTATATTTTATGTTCTAATATATTTTTTTACATTTACCAGGCGTTCATACACGACATATAAAACGCGTTTGGAGAGAAGTTCGGGGAAATAGATATGGTACAAGTGAACATATGCTTGGATATTTGTTCGAATTTCTCTTTAAACGCATTTATGACAGGCTGGAACGCATAGAAGTCTTCTTTAAAATTATCGCAGAAATGTATTCTCCAATATCTACCTGCCAGCCGGAAACCAGTACTACCATCTCTGACGATCAGAAGGCAAACACGAGCACCGTTTGAGAATACATTTATTCATTTTTAACATATTTTCTACGTTGATTTTTTAATTAAAAGCTTAAAAGTTCTTGCTAAAAATATAAACACATACTTATAATTAAATACTTGTAATTAAATATCAATAAAGTAATCGATAATTTTATTGATCATCGATCAGTAGGTAATTTTTTTGTTAAATTAATTAATGTCTTTTGTACAATATACAAAACGTGTAAATATAGCAAATATTTTATTGTGGAAGTATTTGTAATAATTACATGATATTATTCATAAATTTTTATCTATTAATAAGATATTTATACTAGATATTTATATAATTATATATTACTGTAATATTCATAATAATATGTGATATAAAAAAATGATATGTGTAAAACACACACACACACACACACACACACACACACACCACGATACATTATAATTACAATCGATTAATATCTACAACCTTAATCTGAGACTATTTTTAAAAAAATATGTTTTCGAAGAATTTCCTATACAATACTTTTGTTATCACAGTATAATAAATTTTAGTATTTATAATATTAAACTTTCTCTTGTAAACATGATAAAATTTTTCTTGTTAATCTGAAATCAAGCTTATTGCTTTGCAATCTCTATGCTATCATTATATTACTGTAAAATATCATCATTATCATATTGTTGATATAAAAATACAACAAATTATGATTATGTCCAAATGTTGTTCCATGTAATATAGTAAATTTTCTTCTTAAATTAATAATATATAAGTATAATCAAAAATTATCATGGAACTTATTTTTTTATATGTCGTTTTTTCTTTCTTGGAAAATGTATTAAACATTTCTATATCTATTATCATACGCTTTGTTATAAAGTAGTTGATGTGACAGTACTAACGCCATGTACTAAAACTGTCGGTGGTAAATCGACAGTTAATTCTGTCAACGATTGTAGATACTGTTGGTACATATCATCCTCATCCCAAGTGTTCGAGACTGGCGGATCAGGCAAATAAATGAACGTTGTAGCAGTTTCAGAAGAATGTTCTCTTATCAGTTGATTAACGCTAGGAAATAAAATTAATGAAAAATATAGTTCTTTTATGAAAAAGTTATAATCAAAAGAACTAGATGTGAACAAATTTATGATCAGTTAATACTTACCCCAATATATAAGCTCGGGACACATTGCTCAAAGCATTATTGGATTCCGTACCTGATTCATATTGATTTTTGGGCTCAAGCAAAGGCCTACCTTTTAATCCTCGTATTTGCTCTCCCCATTCCGGAATCTTTCTAATCGATGCAGAGATTCTCAACAAATTCAATGATTTTCGAATTCTATGCTCATTCGAAATTCTCGGGAATTCGTTCATCGAATTAGGAGAATCTGAGATACTTAAGCTTTCACTACCGTCCGTAGTTTCGCAATGGAACACTCTGAGATGTAAATTCTTCCAACTAGGTACCATGTTGATGATACATGCGAGTTGAAGCATGAATAATGATGTTGTATCAAATGGGTCTTGATCAGTTGGTTGGAAAAAATTGACCGGCCATACATCGATGTACTTTAAATTTGAGTTTCTAGAAATAAATTTGAGTTTACTATTTAATAATAGATAAGACATAAACATTTTTGCAATAATAAATAAACTTCTACTTACTTCGTTAATTGTGCTTTATTCAACAAATGAAAATTTCTACACAGACATAAATTTTTTTTCATTCTCAGAACATCGGAGCACATGCCGACATACTGAATCGGGTCTAAATTCTTTTCACCCGTTACTTGTCTTAAAGGGAATACAGTATTGTTCGGAAGTGTCGTGCTATTTTCAAACATCGTCGTTGCATATTGAGAATCCAGGAAAAAGTTCCTTGGCGTTTCTTCATCATAAAAACCGAGAACAATTGTGTTCGGTTTCATTGCGCCCATGCCAGACAATCTTATTAAATGCTGCATGCCTTCACGCACAGTTTTTGTCACAGTTAATTCGACAAAAGCTTTGACTCTCATATGATCAACTAAACTCAGCCAATGCGGATATTCCTCTATCGTAGGGTCATTACTTTGACCAGTGAATTCACCAACCTTTACGTGTCCAATAACATAGAGTCCTCCTTTCTTCAAATCATTAACAAAATCTATAAGAGGACAGGCAGAGCGAGGGCAAGCAACCATCAGTAGCATCTGCGGACGCCAGAATTTAACATGATCTTTGCGTGAATCCAACATCAGCAAGTATTTTCTGACTTGATGGAATATCAATGCTTGAGATATACTGCCCCAAGGTGCATTTTTACTTGGTGAGAATAAATGTAGCACAATGATTAATATTAAGCATAAAATTATGCTACTGGAAGCGTAAATACTATTAATTATAAACATCATTATCAATGTCCCAAGAAGACCTATAGTTGCGGTATGCCATGTAAAGTAATTAAATGTTGGTCTAAAAGAAAAATTTATAAATATACACAAATTATACATATTAATCGCAATCGACATAATTTAATGAATGTATTTAAATCCTAAAGTACCTAAAGTTTGGTGCACTAGCAAGTTCCAATCCAAGACACGCAAGATTGGTAGCGAGATAGCTTAACAAAAACAATACTGAATTAATTTGAGCGATAGTATTTAAGGAGCCGATAAGCAAGATTGTCTGAACCAAAACCCACGAAGTTAATACCGCTGTTATTGGATTGCCGCGCCATGTACCTTGTATAATAAAATTTAATCCCGAACCTGAAAAAGAAATAAAGCAAAATTCAATTATATTAGATATTACATATGATTATAAATTACTTACCGAATACATTATCTTTGGCCAATGCTTCTAATACTCTGCTAGAACCTATCAAATTGCTTAAACCAGCACTAAATGTAGCTGTGAGAATGCCAACGGCGACAAATGGCGGCCAAATATTAATCGGCATCATGTACATAAAATTGTTTTGTAGTAAGAAGCGGCTAGTTGTGGCAGCCGTCAATATAGATAACAAAATATAACATATAAATGTGAATAATACCGCAGATAACGTTCCCCGTGGAATATTTCTGCCAGGATTTTTCAGCTCACCTATCAATTGTACCAAAATGAATATATTATACATAAAATCTAAACAAATAATTTTATTTACCGCTCATATTTGCTCCAGCCATTATTCCAGTTACGCCGCTAAACAAAACACCGAAAACGCTTGCAAAATCCGTCATAATTCCTTCGCTTGAATAATCGGCACTATAATTTGAATAGAGATTGCTGGAAAGTGTAGAGGACAGAAGACCTGTATAACTTCCATTTACGTGCTCTGTTATGTTTTGTACCAATGTATTTGCATCCGGTATTGGTATCTAAATTGAATTAATAAATTAATCAAAATTTAGTCAAATAAACTTTATATATATCTATATAAAACACAAAATATATTTTTATATTCAAGTAATAGGATTATTTACCTCCATTGCACCCTGTGTCAAGAAGCTAATAAAGACACTACTCAGACATACACAGACGACTGCCAAGATCATTACACTGGTTTTTGCAAACATTGCGGCTCCAATGAGGCAAACTATAAGATTGGCAGTATTTAATATGGAACAATACAAAAATCTCCACCATCGACCATCTGGAATAAGTCCAGCTTTGCCACTCAAATAGCCAGATGGACCAAAGTTTTCAACTAAACCTTCAGCACATCCAGAGATGCACAATGCACTAGATACTACATTGGCCATGAAAAAGAGAGTGCCAATGGAGCCACCAAATTCAGGTCCTAATGTACGACTGATCATAACTGTATATAAATTGATAGAAAAATATTTGACATTTTTCAAATTTAAAGACTTAATTGTTAAAGCAGATTTTATTAAAAAATCTACTATATAAAAATAAGTTCCTTATCATATCAGCATACCATATAATATTAAACAGAATAAAGTAAGCTAATCTGTTGATAAGCTATCTTAAAATGATGAGCTGGCATAGTTTGTCTCTGCCAGATAAATAAAGAAAGATAAAGATATAAAAATGAACAGAATTTATTTAATGGAAGTAATATGAAGGTGGTACTATCGCTTGCAATAATAAAAGGACACAGTAAGCACCACCACCTTCTACAGCACCATTGGTCGATATAGCACAGACAGACGCAACTGTAAATAATAAGATACCATATGCTATAATGAACTGAACTAGAGTCACGAATAATCCTGCATTGCCCACAATATATCCTGTAAAAATAAAAATAACAATTTACAACTATCTAAAGATAAATAATAACTACTTATATTCTAGATAATCTTTCATTATTACTCACCCATTCGTATAAAAACTAAGGCACTGAACATAGACAAAGTAACTGGACTGAATACACCAGCAAAAGTACCCAATGTACGAGTGTTGTCCACACCAAGATTACTAAATTCAACATAGCCATCTGCTTGGGAATGTGCTGTTCTACCAATCTTGAAAATATTACTTAATCGTTGGAGAACACTTCTACCATTAATTAGAGGAGCTTTTTCACTTGTAATTCTGATATGCACAGGCTCCGTATTTGTGGAGCCAATTTCCGATGCAATCATCTTAAAATTGCTAAAAAAACCATTTTAACAATTTTATATAAATAACAATATAGTAATTATATATAATAGTATAGATGGCACAGAGAAATCATTCTTAAAGCATATAAAAGATTTACACGTTGCAATCCTTCAACTCAACAGCTAAATATACATGAAATCGCTGCTATAAAATATACATGAAATAGACATTCGAAATAAACAGAATTAAATTCATGATCTATTTGTTTTTGTAAAATATGTATACACAGAATAATCTTTCAGAATGATATTATGAATTCCTCACCCTTGTGCGTATAAGAAAATATAAAAGACTATATATCCGTGAGTTAGTCATACGATTATGATGTCACGCTTCGAGCATCACGCTCTAATGTCAAACTATGTATGTCAGTCAGACACGCATTTTTTTTTTTTTCCCCCGGTTGGAGGACGTCGGGAGCTCCCGACTATGTGTCTTCAACCCTGAGGTTATATGACACAAATTTATCTGATTCCCCTCTTAGTTTCTCTGTAACCTGTATTAAATGATTCTATTAATTTTTCTAAAGAACTTGTAAATACACTTCAACACCACCCAATCCAGATCTCTTATTGCGTCCATGATATTAATCTCTTCCCTCACCCCCATTCCCCTCAACTCCAAGTCCATCCCCACTCTCTCCTCGTCATACCTCACACACCTCCATACCACATGCTCCAAACTCTCACTCTCATTACCGCAATCACATCTAGCGTCCTCTATATACCCTTTCCTAGCTAATGATTCGTTCAGATTAAAGTGATTCGATCTAATTCTATTAATCCATACTATAAAATATCTTTCCTCATTAGTATTACCGAACCAAGGTTTTCTTCTTTTTCTTTTATAGAAATTCTCAAAATAAAATTTTCCCTTGTACTCCGCATCCTTTATAATCTTATTTTGTGTATTATTCCATAATTCTCGTTTAAAAATACTTCTGAAGTCGCTATATGGGACCTTTATTTCCTCCGAGGCTGATTCCTGGGAAGCCTCCTTCGCCAGTTTATCTGCCATCTCATTACCCCTGATCCCTTCATGTGCTGGGACCCATCCTATAATGATCCTACATTCCTTGTTTTTGATTATTTTCCTATACAGAGATCTGGCTTTTACTATATACATATTTTTATATACGTGTAACAGGTTGTTCTCTAAGGCCTGTATAGTTGACATTGAGTCTGTGAGAATTATGTAGTTTCGTCCTTCTTCTATTTTTTCCTGATATATCAATTCTAACGTGGTTTTGACTGCAAAGGCTTCTGCTGTGAACGACGAGCATTCTTTCGGCAGGCTTATATTGTATGCTGTTTCCTGTTCTTCTATAGCTAATCCCGTCTCCTGTTAGATTTACTTTTTCTCCCCTGGAGTCCGTCTGTATACATTATCTTGATAGTCCCTCTTATTTTGTTGTTTTCTATAATCTTTTCTATCAGCTGACTATCCGTATGAATCTTTTTCTTCCATTGTTTCGCTGTGTATTTGTCCGTTTCTATCTCCTCAGTGATTTCCTCGTAGTCCGTCTCGAAGATCTCGAATTTTTTACCCTCTCCTGTCTGTTTCTTTAGCCATTTTATCCTTGTCCAGGCATTTCCCAAACAACTTCTATTCGATGTGGGCCTGATGTAGCGTTCGTAGTTTTCATTCGCTTCCAGTTGATTCATTCTCAATCTCATTTCTTCGCTTCCATATATCATTATTTTTAGAAGAAAAATTTCTTGCTAGCATTTTCAGCTCTATCCTGTAACAGCATAACTTTTGATTCCGCTATGATTACGTTGTTCGGTGTGCTATTTCTGTAACCTAATGCTGTCCTGAGACCTGCGTATTGAGTCCTTTCATTTTCAATCTCTGGTTGGTATCTCTTGGGAAATAAATGAATAAGCCATAGTCCACTACTGACCTTACCATACTCTTATATAACAGCAATGCCGTATTGACTTCCATACCTATTCTTTTTTTATTTAAGTATTTCATGAGGCCATTGGCCTTCTTGACCTTACCTCTGACCAGATCAACCTGATGATGGAAGTTAACCCTGTTGTCAAACCATAGTCCTAGGAACCTTGCCCCTGCATCATTGTGTATATCCACCTTTCCCAACCTTATCTTCACTTTTTTGTCCCGTACTCCCTGCTTGTTAAATTCAACCAGGACCGTTTTTCTTGGCTCTAGTTCTAGTCCCAACTTCTCTAGCCTGTTGGCCAGTTGATTGGCCGCCTCTTGAATTGCGAGGGTATTTACTTCTCTATTTGTGCTTGTGGTATACATAGTCGATGTCGTCTGCGAATTGAATAGTCTGTATTCCCCTTCCTAGCCCTTCTGTTATATTCCTCGTATACATTGAGTACAGTAGTGGGCTCAGCACTGCCCCCTGCGGTAGACCTTTGTAAACTCGTCTATCTATGGTTCTTCCCCAGATACGATAAACTGGGTGTACCTGACTCTGCTCCATGCATACACAAATCTTACTATATCGCTTGGGCAACCTATCTCTTCCAGCTTCTCGATAAGTATGTTTAAGTCTACATTATCGTAGGCAGCGGTTACATCCACGAACAGCGCAGTTGTATATTCCCCTCTATAAAATCCATTTCTGATGTCCGAGGTGATTTGCGTCAAATTGTCTGCACAGGACCTCCCTCTTCTGAATCCATTTTGATCCCTGTTTAATAAGTTATTCTTTTCTACCCACCATATCAGCCTTTCGTTTACCATTCTCTCCATTACTTTGCCTATACAGGATGCTAACGCTATCGGTCTGACCTTCTCTTGTCCTGGTTTGTCTATGAAGATTACTTGATATTCCTGCCAGCTTTTTGGTAACTGATTCCTCTTCCATATGTCGTTGAGTACCATTAGCATTTCCTGTTGCATTCTATCTGGCAACCACTTGATCATGTCATATTCAATTCCGTCCCTTCCAGGTGCTGAGTTCTTTCTTATCATTCTTAATGCTCTTTTCAATTCCGCTGCTGTAAACTTGTCCTTCCATCTTAATCCCTCCTCCCGTTCTCTTCTGATTTCTATCGGCGGGTTTTCCGCGGACGGAGGGGCTAGTTTTTCTATCATTCTTTTATGCTATCCTCTCTGTTCCTGCTCTTCCACTTATTCCATTCTATCTTTGCCTTGCAGTTCCTAAATATCATCATCGTATTCCAAACATAGTTCATGCTTGTATACTGTTTATAGATGTGCAGAACAATTCAAAACTCTGTGTCTTTTTTAATTTAACCACTTTTCTCGCTATGGCTCTGCACCTCTTGTATTCTATATATGCATGCATCGTTCCTCTTCTAACAAATTTCTTTTGTGCCTTTTTCCTATTTCTAATAGCCTCTTCGCATTCCTCATCCCACCATTTAGCTGGGTTTACTCTTTCTTTATTTAACTTATTCTTTGTATTCTCTTTCTTGTTGCCTCTTCCTCTCGGGGTAATCTCTTCTATAGCCATTTTCATGCTTTCGCATAGTAGGTTATACCTTATCCGCATGTCTCTTACTCCTGAATCCAGATTTAATGTTGTTTTCGTTCTTTCCCATATTTCAGCAACCCTTCCGCTGTACTCATCCCATTTTGTCTTATTGGATGTGATTCTATTCGTCTTTTTAATGTAATTGGCGATCTCGTAGTCCATTTCCATTATAATTGGGTAGTGGTCCGAACCCAGGAATCCTGTAACTGATATGTCTTTATATTATCTAGATCCTCAATAGGTCCCAAATCAAATCTAAATTGTTAGACGTTTTGGTCTACCATTCCCATTCTGGACTTTGTGTCGTCATTGTAACATACCTAAATTCTTTTCCTCCATTATCTCACTCATATTTTCTCCGTTTCTATCCGTATCTCCACAATTCCAAATAGTATTGTGTGCATTAAAGTCTCCAACATAGTATGTTTTGTATTTATTTACATCGTTTGTGAAAATCTTACGCCATGTGGTTTTACTCAACCTGATACCTGGTCTCCTGTAAACCGCAACTATATTGACTCTTTCGGAAAGATTCTTAATCATAATGCCCAACTTTCAACTGAATCATGCGTTTCCCCTT